AGCATATCTACGCTGGATAGCAAGTTTCAGTGTCTCTTCTGACATCCATTTTGACCTTTTCCTTCTTTCTTGTCTTCTCAGTGCCTTTTTGCTCTCTTCATGTATGATGTTCTTGATGTCATCCCATAACTCTTGTGGTCTTCGGTCTTTAGTGTTTAATGTATCAAATCTGTTCTTCAGATGATTGCTAAATCCACGTGGGATATATTCAAGGTCATATTTTGACTGTCATGGACTTGTTTTCATTTTCTTCAGCTTCAGTTTGAATATGCAAAGATAAAAATCACATGCTAATAAGGGGCTGTTTCACAGTCTTCTTGAGAAGATGAATGTTGTTGTTGTTAAGTGCTGCCGAGTCGGTTCTGACCCATAGTGACCCTGTGTAGGGTTTCTGAGGAGCGGCTGTTGAATTTGAACCACCAACTTTTCAGTTTAAACTGACCTTATGGTCGAGTGCCTATCCTACAGTGCCACACCAGGACAGCCTTTTATAAAAATTACCTGTTTATTTTTGTTTTGTTTTTGTTATTAATGGTAAAACTTTATTTCCTTTTCATGTAACATCATTTCCAATTAAGTCTGTGATCAAAAAGCAGAAAAGGATGGCTATCTGGAATCTCCTATGATATTTTTTTCACACTTTCCTCTGAGTTGCTCTAGGACTCCAAATTTTGATATCCACCATTTTTCCCATTGAGGCTGTATCTGTAATTTCAGAAAGAAGACACCTCATGAATATATAAAAATCATACTGTACGAGGGTATAAGAATAGGTTCTTGGGTATAGAGTCCCTGACTGTGTAGGGCTGTAGTGACAACACATTTTTCCCTACTAAGTTTGGTGTTGTTTCCCTGGTTTATTTATTTATTTATTTATTTTAAGACAAAGCTTGTGTGAAAATACTTAAGTCTCGTGCTTATTTCTCAGACATGAAAACTAGTGGAAGTTTGGAGATTTAAAATTCTTCTTGTGTTCACACTGTGATGTGACTACAATTGATTTCTAGTGAGCATATTAAGTTCCAAGTTTGGCAACTTATTAGCAGACTGGCACCCGCAATTTAATTCACAGGCATAAAT